GGAAAGCCATTACAAACCCAGACAGTGTGTTGAAAAGCAGAGATATTACTCTGCCGACAAAGGTTCGCATAGTCGAGGCTATGGTCTTTCTAGTGGTCATGTGTGGTTGTGAGAGCTGGACCATAAAAAAAGCAGAAAGCCAAAGAATTGATGCTTTTGAACTGTGGTGCTGAAGAAGACTCCTGAAAGTCCTGTGGACAGCAAGGAGATCAAACCAGTCAATCTTAAGGGAGATCAACCTTGAATATTCACTGGAAGGACTGATGCTGAAGCTGAAGCTCCAGTATTTTGGTCATCTAATGTGAACAGATGACTCATTGGGAAAGTCCCTGATGCTGGGAAAGATTGAGGGCAGAAAGAGTAGAGGGCGTCAGAGGATGAGATGGCAGGACAGCATCACTGATGCAATGAACATGAACTTGAGCAAACTCCAGGAGATGATGAAGGACAGGGAGGCCTGACTTGCTGCAGTCCATGGGGTCACAAAGAGTTGGACGCAACTGAACAACAACAACAACAGCAACAACAAAGGAAACAGCTTAAATGAATTTCTGGCGCAGGAAGAAACATGATGCATTCAGAAACTGGGTGAAGGCCAGTGTGGCTGATGTACAGAGAGGTTGGAAAAGAATGATGAGGCCAGAGAGGTAGAGAGAGCGATGTGTAAGGTCAAGTTGATGTTTATTCCAAAAGCCACAGAAGGATTAAGGTATATTAAGCATAAAGTCTACTTTTGATATGCTGATTATACCAGTATCTTGTATCTTGACAGCCTTGGACAATGTTCTCTCTCAGTCCCCATTTTTTTAATCAGTCTCCTTTCCAGAAACTTTTAGTCTAACCTTCTATATTTATTCTAAGACTGGTCCTTCCTTAAGGGAAGTCTAAAAAGGCTCTTCACATCAGGGAGAGCTTTTGGTGGTAGAACTTGAAAGTAGGATGAGTCATGAAATTTTTATTCACGGTTGGATGGATTAGTGTGGTCTAAAACATTTTAGGTTGACTAGTAAGAGATGAGGTAAAACCAGTAAGAGATGAAAATGTTTTAATATTGTTTTAAAAAGATTTTTCTTTTTAAATGCTAAGATATTTAAGGCTTTTATCAGTACTATGGTTTTGAATTCTTCCTCTCCCTCTCTTTTATACATGATCAAGGGCAAGGGTGTGTATTGACTTGCTTGACCTTTGGAAAGAGGAGTGAGGAGTGGGGAATAATTGTATTTTTGGACTTTGTCTTTCACATAATAGGCATTCTCAGTGAAAAGGCTTTATATAATATTACCCAAACCAAGAAATAGGCTTTGTATTTTGTTATGTGTGTATAATGTTTATGATTCCTAGACTTACTTATTATGAAGGCTTCTTTCCTAGAAAGATAGCTACATGGTTGATTTGTAGATCCAATGCCATGCTACACAATTTAGGATTTTTGCTGTTGTCTCTCTGTTGAATAACACACCAGCTATTTCTTCTCCCATGTCATGCTTAAAATGTGAGCTGATTCACATAGGTGATGCACTTAAATCAGTGATGTTTATATTTTCTGAACTGCTCATGGGTGAGATCATTCCTTGCATACTCTGCCATTTCTTGCCTTCTGCTCTGTGGATGTACTGGTATTTTAAGCTGTTGAAATAGCATGGTTATATAGGTTTATATCAGCTTGCCTTCCCTTTTTAAATGAAATGTTCTGTTTGTGACCCACTCCAGTATTCTTGCCTGGAGAATCCCATGGATGGAGGAGCCTGGTAGGCTACAGTCCATGGGGTCACAGTCGGATACGACTGAGCAACTTCACTTTCTTTTCTTTCTTTTTTCTGTTTGTGAAGACAACATCAAATGTTTTGGCAGAGTTACTTTCTGAGAATTTATTTTTAGTAATAGTTTCTGAGAGCAGAAATTGGATAAAGAAAAATATACTCTGCCAACCCCATTTTCAGCTGTAGGTTCTTAATAACAACTTTTTAAAAATAATTTTCTTTTCTTCCTTCCTTCCTTTATTTTTGGTTTGGGGGGTCTTCATTGCTGCATGGGCTTTTCTCTACTTGCAGTGAGCCGGGCTACCCTTTGTTGTGGTGCACAGGTTTCTCATTGCGGCGGCTTCTCTTTTTGTGGAGCATGAACTCTATATCTCCAGCACACTGGCTTCAGTAGTTGTGGTGCATGGGCTTAGTAGTTCTGGTTTCTGGGCTGAGTAGTTGTGGCACATGAGCTTAGTTGCTCTGTGGCAAGTGGAATCTTCCCGAACCAGGGATCAAACCCATGTCTCCTGCATTGGCAGGTAGATTCTTTACCCCTGAGCTACCAGAGAAGCCCCAACTCCTTTATTCTTATTTTGGTTGAGTAATACGTTACAAAATTTCTTTTAAATATGCCGGTTGTATTAGATCAGGAGAATAGGAGTGGGGCCGGTGATGATGCATGAATTTTTAACTGAAATTGTAAACATATAAGTTCCTGTTCTTATGAGACCTCTGATATTGCAGAGTAGTGACTTTAGCTTCTGATTTATTAAAGAACACTTCAATTATATTCAGCATATATTTAATGCTAAATGTATGTTACTCTATTTTGAAAATTTGTAATTCATGGTCTCGTATGTACACAAATAGCTAATCAAAAATTAAATTTATCAGAATATTTAATTAGAGCACCCTAGTACTTTAATATATTGATCAGTAAAACTTTGATTAGCCAGAATGTTTAGGGAATTGAGTGATAAGCTTAATATCCCTTTTCTTTCCATGCATGATTAATGAACACCAACTGTATGCAAAACTTGGCATGGTGTGGCATACACAATGCATGTGACACATTTTTGCCCTCAAGGAACTTAATTTCAGTGTCTTTGGAACTTTTGTAAATTTTACTCCTTTGCTTTATTGCTTTAATAAGATTAATAAATGCATATAATTGAATCTTTGATGATGTAGGTTCTTATAACAAATGAACCTCACAGTATTGTTCTCATATGAATGTAAACGGTATAGGTGTGCTGACCATATAGTTTATCCTAAAAGGTTATTTTTGAGTAGTTTGCAGATGTCAGCTCATTTTTGTTTCCCTGTCTTTTATTTTTAAAACTGTTAACACTGGTTAATTGGATTCTTATTGAAGTTTTACTTTGTTAAAAGGTTTACAGTAACATAGTAAGTATTTAATTGTTCGGCCTTTTTTGGTATGTGAGTTGAAGTTCAGTAACTTTTGTATATATGTATACAGACAGTCTCCAACTTAACAATGGTTTGACTTAGAATTTTCTGACTTTACAATAGTGTAGACATGATATGCATTCAGTAGAAACTGTAGTTCAAATTGTGAATTTTGATCTTTGCCTGGGCTAGTGATGTGTAGTGAGATACTCTATCTTGATGCTGGGCAGCTGCAGGGAGCCGGAGTTCTTAGTCAGCCAGAAATCGCAAGGGTGAACAACTGGTACAGTTAAAATCATTTTATACCCATAAAATCTTTCTGTTTTCACTTTCAGTACAGTATTCCATAAATGACATTAAATATTATCAACGCTTTATTACAAAACAGGCTTTGTGTTAGGTGATTTTGCCCATCGGTAAGCTAATGTAAGTGTTCTGAGCATGTTTAAGGTAGGCTAGGTTAGGCTATAACGTTTGGTAGGTGAGGTATATTAAATGCATTTTCAAGTTACAGTGTGTTTATCAGGATGTAACTCACTGTAAGTTGAGGAAGGTCTGTAATATTGTGGATAACTGTACAAAACTATGAATTATTTGTTTGGTGATTTCATGGTGTCCCTAAGTATAAGTTTAATTTTGTGTAGCCCAGACCAAACCAAATTTTACAGTTTATAATAATTACTACAACTTTTTCTTTTCATTCTAAAGTGGAAGTAAAAGCAAATTAAGGTGTCCACCTCCCACCTACTCCTAAGACTGTTTGAGTGCATACATCTTAAATGATCATTCTTAAAAGAAAAAATGCTTCATGTGTATAAATTTCTTTTTTAAAAAACCAACTAGAAGTATATATTAAAAAATAATTTGTTGCTATGTCACAGAGACTGCATTAGTTTAAACACCATAAGAAAAGTTAATCAAATTTCATATATTTGACTGACTTTCTTGCTGACAGCAAATATAGTTAGTGTGTTAGAATTGGTGATTTTGATGTTTTATGGATTTTACAAAGAATTCAGCAAATAATATCCTGAATATTCTGTCTGTGGAGGCATTGCTTCTTATGTGCAGTTGATTAGACAAATTCAAATCTAGGGCTTTTTCCAAGCACTGGTAGGTTGCTAATACTCTTTGTAGCTGGAGTCTTCTCTAGATGAGAAGTTGAGAGTCAAGGTCAAGCCTGACTTTAGGCCTAAAATGAGCTTCACCAGCTTTATTTCACATTGTTTTGATAGGGACTCACTGTTTCATTGTATTCTCTGTTTTTGTGAGATGATGTTGGTGGGCTCAAGGCAATTAAACGTAGACAACAGGATTCCCCTGTTTAAATACTATCGGCTTATAAGGAAAGACGCACAGCCTGATATGCATAGATTTGATTCTTTCATACAGTGTCTTCTGAAAATTTACTTTGTTAAAAGTTTACAGTAAAATACAAATATTGTTTCACTATTTTTCTTTTTGATAGTGAGCTGAAATTCAGTGTCTTTTTATGTGTATGAATATCATTTTGGATATGTCTGTGTTTGAAGGAGGGTAAAGGAATAGTAGCATATAGGCAGTTTTATTTTTAAAATTTTCACTTTTGATTGGGCAAAATGTCTTCCATTTCCTACCCATAAAAAATTAAACTGCCACCAAACATTCATTTAAATGAACTTATCTAACCTGCTTATATAGGTTCTCATAGAATCTACAGTAATGTGACTAGTTGCCATATTTAAGGTATCCTTGGTAATTTAATCCTTGGCAATTTATGCTTGACATTAAATGCTCTAGGCAAATGTATGTGTTTATTAATTTGGTTGGTTATTGATATATTTTTGCCCTGTGTACGTGTTTCCACAGCTGCAGAACCTTGGCCTGAAAATGCTACATTGTATCAGCAACTGAAAGGTAGGTGCTTATTCTCCATTAAAAATGGCTTCATATCAAAATATGTATGTTCAGTCATGTCTAGTCATGTCTGACTCTTTGTGACCCCACGGACTGTAGCCCGAGGCTCCTCTGTCCATGGGATTCTCCAGGCAAGAATACTGGAGTGGGTTGCTATTTCCTCCTTCAGTGTATCTTCTAGACTCAGGATTCAAACCTGCGTCTCCTGTGTCTTCTGCATTGACAGGTGGATTCTTTACCACTGAACCACCTGGGAAGCCCAGATATATCAAATACATATCAAATATATCAAAATATATTTGTTATAAAAAACACCCATCGATAATGCAATTTAATGCAAAGAGAACATGACACATAAAGAAGGAATTCCCTTGTATAATTTGTCTAGGAGATTTTACCTAAACTTGTATGTGCCAGTGTAAACCAACTATTCATGGCCAGTAAGGTGCTTAGTTTATTATTGACTCATTATATTGGCTGCTATAGGCAGTGTAATATGATGTGGTTGCAGGAGCAGTTGGCAGATTTACTGCGCCAATAGCTGACACAGCAGATTTTTGAAGTCCTGTGGTAAAGTGGGCTCTCAGTAAAAAGGAACTGTTAAAATGTATAGGCTAGGATGGTTCAGGCTCCCTTTAGCAGCTCTTCATATATCATCAGATCACATTATGGACCCCATTTGGGGCTCAGCAGCCTGCTCCAGTTGTCAGAAGACTGCAAAGTAATGAAGACTAATAGGCAGCAGCCCTAGTCTTCTAAGCATGGAATTTTTATTGCAGTGAACTTGTCATCTTTCTTTTGTGTGACAGATCAAGACACACTGTGCAATATTAACTGGAAGCTGGTTTTATATGAGTTTGAATGCTTTTACTTTTAACTAGAGAGGTTTGAGCAGAGATCCTATTTTACTTAATTTTAATGAAAGGGATTATTTCTTAAAAACTTGAGGAAAGCTTTCGTTTTTAAGTGAGCAGTTTTACTTACATATTGCTGATAAAATACAATAAGTGATCAAATAGATTTAGAGGAAATAGTCTTCATTGTTATTTATATAACATGATACTTTAATCCAAATTATAATCTTGTAACATTGATATAGAACTTCATGATTATGCTTTCTTTTTAGAAATAGGAATAGTTTTTTAAAATAAAAAAGCATTTATAAGTATATTTTACTTGTTTAGTAGTTATGCTTTTGACTCAGACCTTTCATTGTATTTCTACAGGGGAGCAAATTTTGCTTTCTGACAATGCAGCTTCTCTTGCTGTGCAGGTAAATATGTAAATAATGCAGTATTTTTTTACTTTTTGCTTTTGGCTAAATATGCTAGTATTGATTATTTGGGGTGATTTCTTCATGTATAGGCACAAACCTATTTTCTAACTTACTTGTAAAGATTTATTCACTACGCGTATTTAAGTGTCACTTTCTCATTGTACTCATTCTAGCCTTAATCCATTTGGTGGTTATGAAGCAGACCTATTTTTCTTTAGCAACGCCTTATATATTTATTGATTACATTAGTGCCTATTATCCCCAGACCACTTATTGAATATAATAGCTCTTCGAGTTTTATATCACAGTTGTGTAATCCAAAATATTTGTGGCCCTGTAAACTTTAAACTGCACTATAGGAAGAATAGGATACTTGGGGATTGTTTGCTTTTAAAGAAAAGAGAAATGTTTATGTAGATTATGGAATTATAAATATTGAAACATTTTACATATTTAGCTGCTCTTTGTTTGGTTAGCTTGTGTAGTTTGAATCACAAAGAGTATTTTAACGTGTAGCACCTAGAAGATAACTTAGAAATTTAAGACATGCCATTTGTTGGAAATGAGATTGTGAGCTTCTTGAGGACAGAAAGAAAAGAAAGAGGGACTGCTTTTGCCTCATTCTAGACATGATGCTAGGCACTTGGTCATCTTGTGTTTTCTTTTTTTTAAACACAACTTGGTATTTTCCGGACTTAATAACTATGACTGTTACACATCCATAGTATGTCATTCAGTACATTTTACTTTTAAGTTGGAGAAAGAAGGAAAAGATAGAAGGAAATGTGTTTGAACAATATTTGTATGAGTGTGAGTATTGTAAAGTTTCTTTTATGGATTTTTACTTCTTTTAGAAGATTTGTATATTTTTACCAAGAATATAAATTTTATTTACTTACATTTATTTTATCTTTAGGCACTAGTACTATAACTAGTGTATTTTCTTTCTTATGTTAATCTTTGAGAAGCAGAAATTCTCGGTTGGTTTTATTTAATAAATAACTACTTTATACTGCCTTTTTGAGGGGGGCATAAGGAAGTTGGAATTTGTTTAGTTTTCAAATACTAATAATATAGTGCCTAGCATATAAAGTGTGCTCAGTAAATATTTGTTGAATGAAGGGTTTACAAGTGGGGTAGAAACAGTCTTGCTTGATAACTGATAATACAAGTAAATTATTTGTTATGTATGAAGTAGTGTCTTCAGTCTTTATATTTTTGAAAAGATGGCTTCAGGGCACGGTAACTATTTTAGCTGAAGCACTAATTCTTAACCCTGTCTTAGTTGCCATTTTGGGGATAATTCTTTCAGTCTTATGAAGCTATGGGATATTTTTCCAGAAAACATCCCAGCATACACACAGGCATAGACATACCTTGGCAGTTCTGCATATAATATCAGGAGGTTTATTGATCTCCCAGCTGAAGCTCTCTGGGTATCCTGTATGAAGAGCCTCTAAAACTAAAGAATATTAGTTTAGGAAGTACGGAAGTAATTTTCACCAGTAGGAATGTTGTTTTGGGTAAGAATAGACCAGTGGTTCTTAGCTGAGGGAGGATTTCAAACCCACAGAGAACATTTGACAGTGTTTAGACATTTTTGATGGTCACAGCTGTTGGGGAGGCTGTTTTTGGCATCTGTTGGGTGGATGCCAGGGATTCTGTGAAACAGTGCATGAGACAGTCCCGTCCCAGAAAGAGTTATCTCACCCTAAATGTAAATGGTGTCACTGTTGAGAAACCCTAGAATAGATGGCTTACCTAGTTTTTGGCATAAACCGAGATATCAGTATATTACCGTTAAAAGAAATTTAACATTTTAAATACTCTGGAGAAGGAAAGAAAAAAGAAATCTTAGTGTGTACCTTCTTTAGTAATTCTGTTTTTATGGTTCGTATTAATTGGTTTTCTCAACATTCATCTCAAATCATAGTTGCAATTAAAGCTAAGACCAGAAAATAAGACTCTTAAAATGCAGAATTTTGCATAACTGTTTTAATTTTTTGTTATCCTACACATGTCACTTAGATGATGAATTAACCAGCATATATTAAAAATTCTTGGTTTTCTTCAATATTCTTTGACTTGACAGCTGATAGTAGCCATGACTATAAATGTGACTTTTCCAGATATCTGATGTAAACTTTATGGAGTAATTTTCTTCTATATAGTGGATGAGTATCCGTTTGGAAGAATCAGTTAAATGTATAAAATTGATCTAACAGTGTGACAGGTATCCATAAACTGGATATTTCCTAGAAAATACCAGATATTAAGCATTAGATCCTTTAGTATTTAGCCACCTAAGTCATCAAGGAATTTAAATTTTACATACCACATAGGCTTTGCATTTATTATCTTCCTGGAACTAAATGATTAGAATTTTTTTTTGATTAAAGAAACCTCTTTATGATTTCAGTTTAAAAGAAAATTAAAAAAATTTTCTCCTATTTTTGTCTTAGATTTGCTTTCCTTCTTTCATCCATGAAGTATTGTTATTACCTGAAGTGTTTGCCTAGTCATAAAATAATCTTGTATGTTGAATATTATGAAGTATTAGAGTAGTGTGTCCCTCTGGTTCTCACAAGCAGTAGTACTGTGTGTGTGTGTGTATACATACGTATATATGGCAGTGCGTACATACAGTGTTATACATACACAAACATTAGGGAGATAAATCTTCCATTTCATAGTATTACTTCCACTTTGAAGCATGTATTGATTGGAAAAGAACTTTGATAACAATTCTCTGTTACTATCCTCTCATCCCCTAAACCAACTGCCTGATAGATATGTAATGTATATAATGTTGCCTACATATATGTAAGGTGGTGGCTGTTGTTTAGTCACTAAGTCGTGTCTGACTCTTGTGACCCATGGACTGTAGCCCGCTAGGCTTCTCTGTCCATGCAAGAATGGACAGGCAAGAATATTGGAGTGGGTTGCTATTTCCTTCTCCAGGGGATCTTCCTGACCCAGGGATTGAACCAGCTTCTCCTGCATTGCAGGCGGTCTCTTGCATTACAAGTGGATTCTTTACCACTAAGCCACCAGGGAAGCCCACTCACATATGTATAATAGTTTAAAATTTTCTAGTAACCACACTAAAAGAAGTAAAAAGAAATGTGAAATTAATTTTAATAAATATATTGTATTTAATATTGTCAACTATTATCATTTAATCAATACAAAATTTATTAACAGGATGGTTTTCCTTTTATTTTAGTGTTAAGTTCAAAATCTGATGTGTATTTTATACATCTCAATTTGTGCCAGCCACATTTCAAGTACTCAATAGCCATATGTAGCTGGCAGCTCTTGTATTGGACAGCACATGTCTAGAAATACTGTATAAGCAAATATATGTGAACTTCAAAGTTTTCTGCAGAAAATACTTTGATTTTTCTTCAAGAAATTTATGTCTTTACAAATTTAGTGTCTCTTTTACAGTAGATTCCACAAGTGAAATGAGTGAATAATCTGTTCCAGATACCTCAAACATTACTGTTTGTTTTAAGTTTCCTCATCTTTAAAATGCAGATATAATAGAAGCTGTCCTACTGGATGTCATTAAGATTGAATGTGTTAAAAAAATATATGAAATGTGTATAAACATTAAAGCACTTAGAAAAGCACCTGGCATATTGTAAACATGTGGTGAATATTGGTTATTTCCTTCTTTCCTGGTTCTTTGACAGAAGTACACATTATCAGTGTCAGCAGCAGGAATGGAAGCTTGTAGGCTTTGTAATACCTAAAGTGATTAAAACAAATGTTAGGTGTAAGAATTATTTTTGGATGTATTTAAATCTATATGAACATTAATAATTTTTGTAATCATTCTTTCATTGTATGCCTAAAAGTTGTTAGTGTAGATTGCTTTAATTCAAATGAAGTATTATTTTAATAGTATTTACTAAATAAGGCTTGTTTCAGAATTAAGTATTGAATGCTTTTGTTGTTTAAGGCACTCTTTTTAAAGAGCTTTTCTGAGAGACATCTTATTCAATCATTACCATGACCCAAGTGTATGGTACTGTTATTAAGCTCATTTTTAAATATGTGGAAACTGAAGCTCAGGAAAACTCTGGCCAAGGTCATAAAGCCCATAAATTGTGGAGGTAAACAGACAGACACCAGCAGCACTGGCTGAGTGCCTACTACATGCGAATCACTGTGCTGAGCATTTAATTCTTAGGAACTCAGTCTTTATAATAACTGTATGAAGTCAGTGCTGCTCAAATCCCCCTTCTGCAGATAATACTGATAGAACAACAGTAATAACTAGCTAAAATTTATACTGTACTTACTCCATGTGCCAGGTCTTATTATATATACTTTAGATATCATAGATAATCCTCACATGCAGCCACCATATGAGGTAAGTAGCACTATTATTATCATTTTACAGATTAGGAAGTTGAGGCAGAAAAGTTAAGCAGTTGGTCCACACTTATATAATTAGTCCTTGACAGAGCTGGAGTGCAAACTCAGGGAGTCTGGGTCAAGTCCATGCTTGTAACACTTTGCTGCATACCAGTTCAGTGTGTGATACAGACCTTTGGAGTTTTATCTGAAAATAAGTAATAACTTAATTCAAAAATCATTTCTGACATTTCCTAGCAAATTATATATAACAATTTATGGATTACATTAAGACGTGAAAGCTATATTGCTGCTTTTGGATCTCTAAAATGTGATGAAGGTAGTCTTACCTATATTATGGGTTATTATGAAGTTCAAGTTAGGTAGTAAATGGGAAATTCTTTTGAAAGAGATGAAAGCAGTATAACTACAAGAAGATGTTGAATGCTGAATTAGTGCCTATTTTTCAAGGATTTGTGCATATTTTGTGAATGTCTGTATAATAAAATGTTATTTCTAGTAAGTTTATTAGAAAGAATAGGATTACAAAATCCTGTTCTAGAAAGGATTTTGTTTAGTATATATGAAGCCAATTTAAAAAGAAAACTGTTTCCCTTTTTTGTATGGCTTAA